GGGGGGCACATGGGGAGAGGAAGGGGGGGCGGTGAGGAGGGAGCAGGGATGCAAAAGGAGGGTCCAAGGAGAGGGCTTGGGGACAAGGGAGGGCGACTTTCCCCTCTCCCTGGGGACAGGGCCACCGCCTGTAAATACAGTGGCTCCAGCTGCAGAAAGGAGGGAGGTTTCCATCGCCTCCATGCTTCTCGTTGAAATACGACGGAAAGCAGGAACCTCAGGACCATTTGAGCCAACCCACGAACAAATAATTTTAATGTTTTTTTCAGCAGACCGTAGTTTTCTCGGGAGCGCCACAGTCTCCTCACTTTGCAGTTGGACAGATACAGTAAACACAACAAATATATGATACAACCCATCACAGCTGGATTAAAAAAAAATACACAAAAAATATAATACATAAAAAAAATGRATTTTTTAACAATGTGGACTGACACAGCTCTAAAAATGGTGATCGTAACCCTGGAAAGCTTTACAAAGTCTTTAAAAAAATAAAACAGTACTTCATGTGAAATTCATAAATACACTGGAGGAGAACAGAGGGGGGGAGCTGAGAAAGGGTCTCCGGGATCCGGGCGCAATCCCATCCGTGCGAGCGGATGGGGATGCAGGATGGAGGGGGGCGCGCAGAGCAGTCCAGTTCCAGAGCACGTGGGTCCTCCCCGTGGCCGGCGCCGCTCCGGGGCCTGGATGGCGCACGGGGAGGTTGGAGCTTGAATTCCCAGGGGCTGAGAGCGGCGAGTGACAGGAAAGAAAGCAAAACAATAAAACAGAAATTTTAAAAAGCAACAGCAACAAGCAAACATGCTACGGAGGAGAAGCCGCCGCCGCTCGGCGATGCTGTGGGGACACGGTGCAGACGCAAAACCGCTCGGCAGCGGGACCAGCGAGCCTAGAGCCACTGCTAGGGCCATATATTAAAAACCTCTGCCTCTCTCCAACCTCTCTGTGACGTCCTTGCTGCCGTGGGTCCTCTCCGGCGGGAGAAATCCCRGCAAACGGAAAGGTCCAGCCTCAGCAAGCCCTGTGCCGCTTGCTCACCCGCTGCATCCCGCGCTGAGGGATGCTCTCCTGGGAGCAAAACGCAAGCCAGGAAAACAGCCAATGTGGAAAAAGCCAAAAAAAAAAAAAAAAAAAGGAAAAAAGGGAGGGGGTATAAAAGAAAAAAGGAGTATCTACAAACGCAATCCGGCATATCTCCCATCGTGGCTCCCACCTCCATCCACCCTGACAAGCTGCAGCAAGGGGGGCATCAGCCTATGAGACTTCCGTGAACACCCACACCCATCGCAGCACCCGACACAAGCCCCCGACCACCCAACGCGTCCTCTGCCTCCGGCTCGGCCGATCCCTCCGGAGCTTCAGCCACTTCCCACCTCTCTTGGGACTGGAACCAGCAAACTCCGCTCTCCCGCTTCTCCTGCCTCCCTAACTCAGCCTATTTCCAAAACGCACTAAAACACACTTGAATTTTCAAAAAGGGGGGGAAATCGACCCTTTTTCTTAAAAACAAAGCAGCTTGCGCCCATTGCCACCCCTCTGTCAACTTCTCCTTTTCTCTCTCTTTTTTCCAAGTTGGATATCGGTGCCGCAGGACGAGCCTCGGCATCCCGGCGGCATCCCAGCCTTCAGCAGCGTGCGGTCCTCCTTCCTCCACACAGATCCTTTGCCCTTCCTCTTCCCCATCTTCTTTTTTTTTTCTTTTTTTTTTAACTTATTAGAAAAAAAAAAAAGTACCTAAGTAGAAAACCTCTGTGATTGCAAATCAGTCTTTTTTTTTTTTTTTTTTTTTTTTTTTTTGGCTATTTGCTTGTCTTCCTCCTGGCTCCAAAGGACTTCGCACGCGGGCGGCTCTTCCTCACCCTCCTTCCCGTCGTGCCGTGCCTTGGCCGGGCCTGGGGGGCCCCTAGTCCTTGACCAACTTGTAGACGTGGTGCTGGGCGCCGTGCTCACTGGTGGAGACCTCGAAGACGAAGGCGATGCAGAGCAAGGTTTCCTGGGTATCCCTGTTCGTAACAACCTGCAACAGAGCGACGGAGCCCGCTTAGGAGAGGGTGGCACCAAGAGGTGACATTTGGGAACCAGGTGGCATCGCCCTGAGTGTGGTCAGCCTATTTGCACCATCAAAATGTGCCCTCTCTCCCAAAACACCCCGGGGTGGCCAAAGTGGGGAGGATCTTGACCTTGAGCCTTGAATGTGCCCCAAGCTCCTCCTGACCCTAGGGATGGTCCCCAAGGCTCTGTGCCAGCTTTGGTGACCTCTACCYGCCACATCTCAAGCCATACACGAGGATGGAGATGGCCTGTTACCCCAAATCGTGTCCTATCTGTGTCAACAGACGCAGGGGAAGGAGAGGAGGTACCTGCAGGATGGTGAAATTCTCCAGGACGCTGTTCATCATGTACTTCTCCGGGAGGTGCTTGAGTTTGTGGATGAAGTTGATCATGTACTCGCACATGGGAGAGCGGTGGATTCGGTAGACGAACCGGCCRTTCTCCAGACGCGCGTACTCTGTCTGTGAGGGACAGAGTGACACAGGTGACACAACCGCGCTGGGAACRGGGGACAGCGAAGGGCAGCGCAGCCTGGAAATACTGCAGGGAACATCTTGGAGACACTTTCTCTGCTCCACTTTTGGAGGTACCATGGTCCATGGAAGGCATCATGGGAGGGTTGAGGTTGGAAGGGACCTCTGGAAAACACCTAGTCCAACCCCTGTCTCAAACAGGGCCACCTAAGGCCACCTAAGGGTGTGTATGACACTGGGCGATGATAACTCCCAGCCACGTGATGCAGTGGCTCATCTATCTGCCTTAGCAGGTACCCAGGTGTCCATGGCTATACTTCCATTCTGGAGCTCTATCCTTCCCATGCCACCCAGCGAGCCGTGGGAGATCCCATTCCCACAACACTCCCAACGGGACAGACTTACCTCCACTTTCTCCACCACCTGCTTGCCGAAGGAGCACACCTTGGTGGACACCGTGATGGTCATGTTCTCTGCACTGCTGTACTGGCTGCTCACACCATAGAAAGTCCCCGGCCCGTCCTGGATGGTGCTGTTCAGATCCGCCTGGCGTGATGAGAAGCAGGGAAAAAGACCCTGTGGTGAGTGAGTGCACCAAGGAGTGCTCCCATGTCCCAGGGCAGGTGACACCGCCGCAGGGGGAAGAGCGCGGCCCAGGATCTCACCCAAAACTTGACAAGGAAGAAGGAGTTCTGGGGCCCACGCTCATAGAGCTCCTTAAGGCCGCCCTTCTTCTCGGGGAACTTGTCGTAGATCTGGCGGATGTCGACAGCCTCCAGGAGGGGGTCACTGTACGATGGGTTTGTCTGGCCGATGTGCACGAAGAGGTGTTTGCTGTACTGTAAGGGGTCGGGTGGTGGGCACGGGGGTCAGGGGGCCAGAGGAGCCCCGCGCTGGCGCGGGGGGCCCCGCGCGCCCACTCACCGTCTCGGCGTCCCGCGGCACCTCCATGAACGCCGAGTACTCGAGGAGCCGCAGCTTGGCCGAGGCGATGGTGCGGTCCTGCCAGACGGGCACGGCCGCGGCGGCTGGCGGGAGCGGAGCCAGGGGCTCGTAACCTGCCCGGGGAGCGGCCGTGAGGCGGGAAAACTCGCCTTTTCCCGGCATCCCGCCCCACGGTGCCCCACGTCCCATCCCAGCCGCCTCCCCGCCCCAGGCAGCGAGGGGACCACTTACTGGCTAGTGATGGAGGCATGGGTGGCTGGATGGGGTAAGCTGGCTGTGCAAATGGTTTAATGCTGGAAAAGAGAGCGCGGCGTTAGCAGGAGTCGGGCCCTTCCAGCCCTTCCCTGGGGCGAGGGACGGCCCGTGGCCGGGGGGACTCCAGGTACTCACTCCTGAGAGGGTCCAGGCTGTCCTGGGATCGGCCCGCTCCAAAACTAGGGGGGAAACAGGGAACAGAGTCAGGAATTTGCACAGAGCGCCCCAGTCCTTCCTCCACCCACACCTTCCTCCGGGAAACGTGGCTGCCCCCAGGCTCCAGCAGCCCCTGCCCGGGGGTCGCAGCCCTTCCCGTGTCCTTACCCTGGGCGCAGCAGAGAAGACAGCCTGAGGAAGAGGAGGAGGAGGGCTGAGCTTGTTCTGCAGGACGCTGGCCGAGACGATCTGCGCGGAGGACATGGAGGCCATGCTCTGCAGAGCCTTGTCCTTGGAGACCTGGTCCTGAGGACGGGACGGGCATGGAGGTTACCCCGGGACGGACAGATGGACCCACCCCGACACCCTGCTCCTCATCCCACGCCCCGGTGCAGCCCAGCTAGGGTAGCAGGACAGGCAGACCCCCCTGTCTGTCCCCGTGCTGGGCACAAAGCCCCCTGTCCCATGGGAATGAGGGCCCCTGCTCCAGGCCGGAGCCACCAGACTCCAGCGCAAGGCAGGAGGCAACAGGACAGGGCCTGGGGGGATGCAAGCACAAAGGTGACTTACCAAGTTCATGGCCTGTATGCAAAAGAAAGGAAAGGAAATGGTTAGAGCGTCAGGGGAGCGGCAGCACCCACATCCCCTCCGACACCCTTGAGTTGGGGCATGAACCCCGTCTCGACCTGGCTGCATCCTCGTGCCTGCAGCACCTGGCAAAGGCACCAGGACTGGAGCCACCCTAGCCTCTCCACTGTGCTTTGCCATATCCTTTAAAACCCTTCCCGCTCGCCAGGCCCTCTGCAATTCCCAATGGGGAGGTGGGAATAGCGCCGAAGGGGCCGTGCATCTCCATTGGCAATCGCCACCAGGAATATTTGCACCTCTCCTAAGCTGCCTCTGCATTTGTATGAGAAGTAGGACCAAAAAACGCTGCTTTCTACTTTCTTTTTGCCTTTGCTAATCGCACTGGGGCCGCTGGGGCATGGAGGTGGCCCGAGGCAGGGGCGTCCCCCAGCCGCCCCATACCCAGTGCCTGCCCGTACCAGCCTGCTTTTCCCTCCTAAGGAGCTCCAGGATGGATGGGCTCCATTTCTTTGCGCCCAGGGCGCAGCAGGACAGGGCATTTGCAAGATGGACCGCGTGAGCCTGCAGGGCGGGAGGATGGGCTGTCACGAGCCGGCACACGCCAGGAGCCCCGGCAGCTCCGCACGCAGGACTGCAGCTACAGCAACGAGAGGACACTCTGGAAAGGGAGTTTCAGCCCCACGGGGCCGGCTCCTCCATGACCGGCCTCCAAAGAGGGCTGCACATTTATGTCYAGGTCATGCTGCTCAGGGCAGCAGCTGCGGGATGTCCTGGGTGCTAAAACAGCCACCGCCGGCCTTGGTGCTTCTCAAACTGCTCCGTCTCTTTTGGGACTCATGGGGGGCTTCAGCTTTCCCGATATCCTGAGCACTGAGCTGCATCGCTCGTCATGCAAAAACGCTTCCCAGGCCCTAATCTGTCTGCTCCCGGTTACTCCTCGTCTGGACTGCGGCCACTTTTGCAGATACCCAGACCCACTGGAGCCTCCTGAACCCGTTTTGGGTGCCCTCTCCTGGCTTCTTGCAGAAAATCAGCCAGGAATGGCCCCTCCTGGCCCCCTTGGGCACCAGGACGGATCCCRGGACTCGCCCAACTTTGCAGCCTGAGCAAACCCTGCCAAAAAAGAATTTTTTTTAAGTGCTGGAAAAGGCAACTTTGTGGCTAAAATGACTTTTAGGGCTCCAGATTCCTCAGCCAGGTGACAGGATGCAGGTCCTGTCTGGAAGCCACCCTGATGCTCCTGGGTAGGATGGAGTCGGGAACATCGCAGGACGCAGAGGCTCCTTTGGAGATGTCTCCAAACCTGCCCTCCCATATCCCCCCCAGTCTTCCCTGACCCAAACTGGGCCCAGTGGAAAGCAGTTAGGGAAAGGTTAGTCCACATCCAGTTAAAAGAGGGAAGGACAGAAAGAGAAGCCAACCAGAGAAGAGAGGACGCTCCAGATCTTCCTTGCTCCGCGCTCTTGGCCCCTGGAACCACAGCCGGTCCTGCTCCGCTCACCCYGGATTTAGTGGGGGCTGCACCAGCCCCTTGGTGCCCAGGGCTACCCGGGCTTCTGGGTTGGACCCTGCTCCATGTTGGTCCTTCCACCTCCTGGGAGAAGACCAGGTAGGTCRGGAACCTCCCGTAGGACCCACAAGTGGCAGCAAGGGGGAGGTTAAACCCCCTAATTTAACAGGGCAGAGGGAAGGGGGCTGCCAGCTCCGCAGCATCCCCTGCAGGTGCCCACCCAGCTGGACAACATCTGGTTCCAGGAGCAGAGGGAGGGGGAAGAAAAGCCATCCGAAGGGCAAGAAAGAGAGAGCGGCACACCAGTGAGCTGAGCGTGTTAGTCGTCAGCGCGGCCAAGGCGGCGGGGGCGCGCGTACCTTCAGCTTGGATTGAATCTCGCGAGATTTCCGCCGGGCTAGAACCTGCAAGTGGCTAGAGACCTGCAGAGAGAAAAGCAGGAGGAGAGGGGGGAAACAGCAGAGCCGTCAACCAGAGGGGAAGAAGAGAGGAAGGAGAGCGGGGCTGCCCATGCTCATCGCCAAACCACCTGCCGCGGACACATGGGCTCGGGGCGCCAACGTACCTTGATGCCAACCTGGTACTCCCGCACCTTCTTCCGAGCTAGAACCTGTATGTGGCTGGACACCTAGAGCCCGCCAAGCCGTTCGGAAAGGAAAACACAGAGAGAATGAAGACGTGTCCCTGGGCCGGCCCGGGACGCGCGGCCCCGCGGGGGATGCTCGGGGCCCGGCCGGMGCTCCTGGAAACACTGCTGGAGCTAAAGGGAGAGAAAGGGATGGGGGGACCGGGCAGATCTGCGGGGGAGCCTCTGCTCCGTGGTCAGCATCTCCAGGGGGGTTGGAGAGRGGGCTGGCTCCGAGCCTGGCGAGGGCGCAACATCCCTCCAGCACCTGCTCCGGGCCCGCAGGTGCGGTGCTCCCAAGGAAGATACCGCCAAGGTGCTCTTTAATTGGGCAAGATGAGGTGGGAAAAGCGTGTGGAGGTTCCCCTTCCAGACCCTTCGAGGGACAGGGTGCTCGTAGAATGTGGCTGAATCCAGCCAGGTGAGAAGCCCGCGGTGCTCCCTGCATCCCTGCAGCCATCCCGAGGGGCCCTGCGCCCGCTGGGATGTGGGACCAGCACGGCACAAATCCTGCTCCCGTCCAGCACTGACTCAGCCTCATCCAGCCCCCAATGGGGCTTCCTGRGGCTCCGAGTAAAGCTCCACAGTTGGAATAACTCCGTGCTCGGCGCTGGCCCRATGCAAAGCCTGTGGGCAGAGCGGGTTGAGCCCGGCTCCAAGCCTCTCCAAATGCCTTCCCACTATCCCAGGTTAGGGGGCTGGAAGAAGTTGGGAAAAGACCCATTGCTCCCAAAGACAACAGTTGTGGGCAGCGAGATGCAGCCGCCCAGCAACATCCTCTCAGGAAAGGCACTGGTTTTCTAGGACGCATATCATGGCTCTGTCCGGCCGGGCATTTTTCCAAGCAGGAACAACRCAGAGTGGAGGGAAAAGCCACTGGAGGCGTCAGAAATGGGCAGGGCCCCTCCAGGGCTGTGGGGAACTGCCCCGTCCTGGTTCATCTCCAGCAGAGCAGCCAGAATGGGCACGACCCCCGGCCTTGATGGCAACAGTAGGACCCGCTTCCCGCATCCGTGCCCACGYCCCTTGATTCCAGGTTCTCAGCTGGAGCATGCGGCATAAAGCCGCTCTCCCTATCTGTCCTGGGAAGGAGCGGAGCTGGAAAAGAGCAGCCAGAGAAGCAGAGAAAGATGCAGCAGCCACTGATCCTGCTGAGTCGGAGACTTCAAGCCTGGCTCCATTATGGAAAGACAGAAAAACCCGCTCAATTTGAGGCCAAAACAGCTCAGATTCAGACCTGGGCACCACTGGCACCAAAGCCTCCGCGCGCAACGGGGGCGATCCCAAATTCCCAGTGGTGCTGGGAGCCAGTGCTGCTTTGCCGGGAATGCTGCTGGCTCCAGGACGCTGCCTGTGAGGAGGAGGAGGAGGAGGAGGGAGGGAGGAAGAGCAGAGCTTGCTGGCAGGATGGGACCCACAGGACACACAACGATGGCACGGACGGACGCATGGACGGGCTTTGATACCACCCCAGCCCCTGCCCAAGCAGCTGTCCCCGCTCCCTACCTGTTTTCTCGTCCGTGTCTTCCCCGTGCGCAGTTTGATGTACCGGGCGATCAGTTCATTGCGACCTGTGCGACAGGAGACGTYGTCACCGTCACCGTCAGCATCCCCGAGGGCGCAGGAGGCACCGGGCACTGGCTCAAGCTAAGGAGGGGCCGGAGGAAGCGGCACTGCCGGGAGATGGCGCTGCCAGGACAGCTGTCCGGCCGCAGGGGACAAGGCGACACGGCCAGAGGGGACAGGCCGGTGGCAGCGGGTCCCACGCCACGGGGGCACTTCTGGGGTGCGAGAAAGTGGCAGCCCTGTCCCAAGCAAAAGGCCTGGGGGTGTCCCCAAGTGCCAGCACCCAGAGACTCCCCCAAGGGCCAGGGCAGCCTGAAAGTGGGGACAAAAATCAAACCGCTCCTCAGCGCGCCCGGGCTCCGAGCGGGGGCTCGGGGCGCCCCGGCCCCCCGCCAGCGTTCGCAGCCGCGCTGCCCCTTCCAGCAGTATTTCCTACGGGCCTAATGGGAAGCAGAAGGGCTTTTGCGCCACATTTTACGGGCCAGCTGTGGCCAATCTAGGCTCCGACGTCAGAGCAGCTGGGAGCTTTCTTGTGCCGCCCCCCCCGCCGCTCGCCCCCCGCGCACGGGGGCGGCCAGGCACGCCACATTTATTTTAATGGACCAGATGGTCGCGGTTGGAACTTGTCGAAATGCCCTTGGAGCTGGATTCGCCTTTTTTTTTTTTTTTTTTAATAAAAATAAAAATAAAAAAATCTTAAAAAATAACCCTCGCCCCGCCGGCCCTGCCACCCCACTCCGGTGCAAGGGGCTTGGTGGCTGCCACCGCGCTGCCCCAGGCGGGATGGGCTGGTAGCGCCTAGGCTCCGGGCAGGAGCGGCAGCAAATCCGCGCGGATGCGTCCCGTGCTCCGTGCTCCCGCCCGCCGCGCGTCCGTAGCCACCGGGGCGCTGATTCACCGGGGGCTGTGGCACTGCCTGGGCGAGGGCACGGYCTCCTCCAAATTGCCACATTCCCCAAATTCCTCGGCCCTGACACGGCCGCGCGAACCAGTCGGACGGCTCCGATAAAAATAACCCGCGGGGCCGAGCGCGGCCCCACGGCCACCTGCTCAGGGGCGCGCAGCCCCCGCCGGCCGCACCCCCTGCCCGCCCGGCCGCCCGCCAAGCGCAGCCGCGCCAGCCAGGGGGCCAATTTTCCCTTCCCTTCCCATTCCCYTCCCATTCCTGCACAATGCGGTCAGGGGGGTTTTCTTATTTTTTCTGCAAGATGCATAGGGAATAAAACACCSGGATCTCCCCCAAAAGCCCCTCCTGGGATAAGTTTGGGTGCGGGGGTCCCAGGCGGCGCGACCTTTGCAAAGTCACCGCTTTGCGGCTGGCTCCGTTTGGGGGCTGCTGCCCTCCCYGGGCAACCAGAGTCCAGCTGGGAAGGAGCCCGGGAAGCCACTCTGGGCTTGGCCAGACCAGAGCAGCCTTTGGGAGATGCTGCTGGGAGATGAAAGGGGACGGAGAAGGGGGACGGATGGCGGGTGTTGGGGGGGAGGCTGCTGTCTCTTTAAGCAGCTGCCAGATGTCTCCGAAAGGCTGGAAAAACCGGTCTGCGCGCGGGGCGTGCTGAGCGCGGCCAGGCTCCCGGCGGCACTTCAGCTATTCCTGGAGAAATCCGAAAAATGTGCCCGTTTGGGAAGGCCCGCACGCGGCCGCCGTCCCGCACCAGGGGGTCCCAGCACACAGAGTGGCACCGGGAGTGCCCGGTGCAGGGATGGCGCCAACAGGGTGCCGGGAGCTCTCGCTCCCAGGGCAAAGTCCTGGTGGGATGAGCTGGTGGATTGTGTCCCCCTCCAATGTGTCCCTGGTTGGGGACAGTGTGGTCCTCTCCGAGGGTGCTGGGGGAGGATGGATGGAAGGGATGGGGACTCCTGGACCCTCTCTTGGCAACCCCATCCAGCGATTCCAGTGGGACTGTCTGGCACAGCATGACGGGGCCCTAAGCCTCCACCGGGATTTGGCACAGGAGGTGAGAGCCGGCATTCCCGTCCCTCCTCCAGCAGGCTCTTCCTGCCGGCTTGGAGCACAGGGCCGGCTTTGGGAGCAGGAGGCATCATTTCAGGCGCAGCCGCAGCCCGGACGCCGGGGACCCCGCGCTCCCGCTCCGACAGCACCACGAAAGCAGTCGGTCCAGCAGGATCAGGACAGGGAGGGATGCAGGGTGGGATGCGGGAAGGTCCTGCTCCGAGGACGCCGCCACTCACCGTACATCTTGCCCTCGTCCGAGAGGATGATTTTCCGGCGGCCGCAGGGCGGGTAAATGGCCAGCGCCTCCTGGAAGCTCTGCTCGATGTCGGGGCTCCAGACGCCCTCGGCGTCGTTGTCCAGACTCTTGTCCATGCTGTCCTGGCCATCTTCCCGCCCCTCTCCGGGGCTGCCGCTGGCGTTCCAGCTGTTGGACGCTATGGTGCTGGCTGCTCTGGGCTCCGAGCCCGAGCCCCCGACTGACACGCGACAACCTGCCGGCACAGGGACACAAGCGGGGACAGCGTCAGAGCCAACGGAGACGGGAGAAGCAGAGATCGGCAGGATGTGGTGCCCGGAAGGATGCGGCRCCCGGAGCATCCCGCTCATGCCTGTGTCCACCTAAAGACACCAAAGGGGCTTCTTGAAGCACCTAAATCTGCTTTTCCAGCCCCGAATCYATCTGGAAACCAGCCTCCAAGTGACCTGCCATCCAGGGCTACCAGCCCAACCCCGGGAAAACAGGAGCAGGACGCAGCCCAGCCCATACTGGGATAGGATACGGCCAGATTTGGTAGGATACATACAGCCCAGCCCAGACTTGGGTAGGATACAGCCAGAATTGAGTAAGATATAACCAGATTTAGATAAGATACAGCCAGATGTGGGTAGGATACAGCCAGATGTGGGGAGAATATATAGAGTCCAGCCCAGATTTGGGTAGGATATGGCAGAATTGGGGAAGAAAGAGCCAGATTCGGGTGTGATGCAGAGAGATGGGGTTAGGATACTGCCAGATTTGGGTAGGATAGAGCCAGATTTGGGTAGGACACAGCCCAGTCCAGACTTGGGCTGTCACAGGCCAGACTTGGCTTTGCCCAGGCACGCGGGACACTGACTATCCGCAATCCCGACACCAGCCCCTCCGGACCTGGGGAACGGCAGGGAAAGGCGACAGCCGAGCAGAGCTGAGCAGCTCTCGGCCGGGTCGCCTTAATGGGAACCAGGTGTCCAAAGGGCTCTGGCAGCCCCGGCACCGGGCGGACGCCTCYGGGACGGAGCCCCAGCAACGCTCCGAGGGGCCCGGATGCTCTGCCAGGGTCCCCGCTGTGCTCCACTCCCCCGTTCCCAGCCCCACTCCCCATTCCCAGCTCCGTTCCCTCTTCCCTGCTCCGCTCCCCGTTTCCGGCTCCACTCCCCAGTTCCGTTTTGCAACACGGCGTTTGGCGGCGAGCGGAGCGGTGGCTCCCTGCGCCCAGACGCTTCCCGGACAGACGGGGAGTGTACAAAGGTCTCCGGCACAGACATCTCCTTTTAAAGGAACTGCRGCTCCGCCGCTGCCGCCGCTGGGGTTTTTTGCTTTTTTCTTTTTTCTTTTTTTTTTTTTTTAAAAAAAAAGCACTTTCCCCACCCCGTGCCGCTCCGCGCGCTGCGGCTCCTCCGGCTCCCGCGCCGTGATGTCAGCCGCGGCGGCCCCTGCCCGCCTGCCCCCCTTCCCTTCCCATCCCTTCCCTTCCCTTCCCGGCCGGCTCTCCCCCCTCATGCCGAGCGCTGTGGCCAAATAAGGAGAACTGGATTGCAGGAGCAAGCCGGAGGGGAGGGATGGCGGCGGCGCGGTGCCGGCCGGAGCGCGCTGGAGCGCGCGGCCCCCCCAAAACACGAGGTTCTCCGGGAGCTGGCGCGAGCCGAGCGGGAGCGCACCGAGGTGTGAGGCCGAAACTCCTCCTTCGCCAAACCTGCTTTTTGGCGGGCCCGGCGCTSCGGCTTCCTGCGGGGAGGGTGTCCCGGCGGCACGGCCGCCTTTGACGTAAAGCGCGGGCCCCGGCGGCCGCGCTCCACCCTGCCCGGCCCGAGCAATTAGGAAACCAGCAGGGCCGGACCGGCTCCGGAGGTACCGGCCTGTCCAACCTGCTCCGGGCAGGGAGGGGAGCAGCCGTGCTGGAAAACAGGCCATCCCGCCCTGCTGCTGCCCGCGGCCGGGCSCCACACCAGCGGGGGGTCTCCTGCCACCCAGAGCCCTTCTCCGTGTTGTCCTTGTCCTTCGCTCCTGCATCCCATGGAAGATGCTCCTGGGAAAAGCTTGGAGGCCTCCCTGTGCTCCCAGGGGTGCTGCCTTGCAAAGAGCGGATCTGAGGGGAGCGAGAACCCCAAAATAAAACCAGGCACACCCCTTCCTTGTGCAAATCGCAGGGCTTTGCACAGGGCTGGAAAGGCAGGGAAAGGAGGGAAGSGGGCTGTGCCTGAGGGTCCCCACTGCAGTGGGAGGGAAGGAAAAGCACTGGGAATTGCCCTGCTGCAGTTCTGGCTGGCTCTGGCACACAGCTCCGGGGTGAAACGCGGGGCAGAGCCTGGCTCCGTTTGCCCACATTTGCTGCCAGTGTCCCAGGTCCGGCCAGACCCCGGAGCTGGGGCTGGACATGGGTGGCATCTGCAGGAGCATCGTCTGCATCCACGTCACCAGCTGGGGCTGCAAGAGGAGGGCTGGAAGGGGCCTGGAGAAGCAGGAACCCYGGGGCAGAACCTCCCGGGAGCACAAGGCCCGGCCTGCCCGGAGCGGCTCCCTGCGASGAAGCAGAGGAGGAGGAGGAGGAGGAGGGTGGTAGGGGTGAACTGGCCCCGCTTCCCCCGCCCGGAGCCGCTGGCGAAAGGATAAAAGTTCAGGGACAAGCCCGGGCAGGACGGGCGCCCGCACGGGCCGCAGCGCCGCCAGCGGCCCGGCCGCCCCTCCTGCCGCGCGGGGGACACTCGGGGCCCCGTCCTGCCCCGCGGCGGCGCCCCGGGAAGCACCAACCCGGCGCCGCCACCGCTCCGTGCTCGCTCCGGAGACGGGAGCGTGTGGGAAGCCGCAGGAGGCCCCAGCATGGAGCGAGCGAGCGGAAGCTCTCCCGGCATGTGGGGATGCTCGGGAAGGGGCGCCCGGTCCCGATGCACGGGATGACCCGGGAGGACAGCGACACAGGGGCCTCCCTGCCCATCCCTGCAAGCACCCCGTGCTCCCACAGCGGCCTCGCGCACTAACCCCATCCTCCCCGCGTGGCCATGGGCTGGAGCCCCCCAACGCGCCGGGCACCGCTCCCGCTGGCGGCGCTTCAGGAAGGCTCCGAGCCCTCCGGCCCGCGAGGGGCTGTGCCAGCCCCGCGAGCCCCGTGTGCAGGGAGGCCCCGGCGCTCAGCCCAGCACCGGCTGCCGCAGCGCGCCGACGAGCTGTCGGCCCGGCTCATTCCCCTTCCTCTATCGCTTCCTGGCCCTTCCGGCTTGGCGCGGAGCTCAGGAAGCAATCGGAGCGGGGAAACCACAGGGGGCCACGTGGCCGCATCCCACCAGAGAGAGGCCGCTGCCACCCGCGTCCGCACACACCACCCAGCCCTGGGCGCCCCGAGGCCCCTCGGGAGCATCCACGAGCATCCGTGCTGGCTCTATCCCGATGGATGCTCAGAGCGGGGCTGCTGGGACACCACTCAGTCTGCATGGATGCAGGAACCTGGAAAATATTGGATACACTGGAGGGACGCCCATGCTCACAAGCAAAGCATGCACTCTGGGCACCCGCAGAGCCTGACTGTGTCCAGGGAAGGAGCAGGATCTTGCGCTCAACTTTGGGCCCAGCAATGACCGGGACAGATAGATGGACACTTGGAGCCAACCTTGCTCCCGGTCCCGCTTCCCGCTTTCCCTCCCGCCCTGTCCCGGTCTTCCAGTGCGTGGCGCAGATGGAGAAAAGCTTTGACAGCCGCAATTGCTCTGTTGTGAAACGCGGCAGCTGCCAACAAGCAGCCCCGAGTCACTGGCCAGGGACCCGCACGCGCGGCCACGTGCCGAGGGTCACACTGCGCCGGGGCACTCCGTGGCGAAGCCCAAGCGCCCCCGTGCCCTGGAATCATCCCACAGCTCTTCCTGCAGGAAGAGGAGGAGGAGGAGGAGAAGGAAGGCCAAGCGTGTTTCACGCCCGCCCCCGGCCGCCTCCACCCCCATGAAACCCAGCGCTGCGGAAGCGGCTGCGCCCGCTGCTCCCAGGGCACCCGCTCCCTTCCCGGTGCCGCGGGACGGATAGACATGGGACCCCCTTCCCAGACCCTCCCGGGAGCCGCTCCTTTCTTGGGAGAGCCCTYCCAAGATGGGGGCATTCTGCACGAGCACAAGTTTGCAGCTGTGCCCTTTCCTTCCTCAGTGCCGCGGCTGCCAGAGCGGGAGCTCTCACGGCACGGTGGGAAACGCGGAGTGCCCGGCGCTGCCTTCCACCCTGCGCGCTCCCAGGGCCGGGCTGGCATGAGCACGTGGCCCATCCTCCACTTGCTCCCGCTCTCCACACTTTGAACATCTTCTGGAGAGAAGTTCGTGGCTATTGGGAACAGCTGGATCTAATTTTTGATGAGGAGGAGACAGTGGCAGAGACAGAGCGAGGCCGGGCGAGGAGCCCTGAGCCTCAGTTTCCCCAAAAATGGAGTGGGGCCACATGGAGAGCACTGGCCGGGATCACAGGCAGCATGGAGCAGGACAGCATTTCCAAAGCTGGGCACGGCCCCCGTAACACGGATATTGCCCTTGCTGGGCTCCCCAAACGGGCCCTGCTCCCAGTCGGTGCCCATTGCACGGCAGATCCGGGGTATTGATCCCGGCGCTCCCTCTCAAGCCCGTTTGGGAYGGCGAGCGCTCCTGCTGCCGCTCGCTTCCTGCTCGGCTCTGCCCCGCTCCTAAAATTAGATCCAGCTCTGCCGTCCCGTCGCCGTCCCCCCCGCCAAGACGAGGGGAGCTCTGCCAACACATGCTCCGGCTTTGTATCCATTTTCCCGCAGGCCGGAGGCGAGGGGGAAGGGGATCCTGCCACCTCCCCCGGCGCTCGCGGCCCCGGCCACCTGCGAGCAGCCCGCTGCAGCGGCTCTTAGGGGGCTGCAGCGCGGGAGCCGCCTCGGCTGCCTGCGGCTCCGCGGGGGCCGCCCGCCGAGCGCCACCGCCTTGGCCTGGGCGGCTGAGGCCTGGCGCTGCTCRTGACGCAGCCAGCGCTGGGAAGGAGCCGGAGCGGAGGCCGCTGGGATGCTCCAGTCACGGCTTTCCCTTCCACAGGGCCAGGGCACTGACACCAGGGGCTCGGGGGACACGAGCGCCTTTGACGGCCGAGCATCCTTGGCCGCATCGGAGCTCCGCGGCACCGCGCGGCGCCACGGGCCAAGCGGCTGCGCCTGGCCGCGCTCCTCGGCCGGCGGCACCCGCCCAGGCCCTTTCACAAGAGCACACGTGACGGTGGCATCACCGCCCCCGCGCAGGTGCCGCGGCCCCAGTCCGGCCCGGGCGCCCGCTCCAAGCGGCRCCTCTCCTGGGCGCAGAGCTCGGCGCCGTGTCAAAACATACAGCAAAGMGGCGGTAAAAATACAGGTTCCTGCAGTTCGTCAGCTTCTGGGAGCCGTCGTGCCCATGCGGTGGCCGGGCAGGAGGATCCCAAGCCGGAACRCTCTGGAGGCCCTGGCGCGTGGCCTTCTCCGATATTCCCAAGAAGGCAGGAGAAGGGAGGGAGGAAGGAGGTCAGGAAACCTGAGGTCCAGCCGAGCTCCGGTTTTAAGGTCTCTGTCCCAAAACCAGTGGCTGCTTCCACCTCGCTGGCCACATCCAAGGGCGCCTTGCGCAACGCAGCTGCCCGGGCTGCTCCAAAGGGTTATTTTTGCTGGAAAAGCCAGGCTGGTGCCAGCGGCGGAAGGAGCGTGGGCCGGGAGCTGTCCGTGCGTCTGTCCGTCCGTCTGTCCGTCCGTGCCACCCCGCGAGGCCAGGAACAGCGGGTCCACGAAGGCCTCCGGGAGCCCCTTTTCCCGGRCAGGCGGGAGGGGGGCGCCGGGAAGCGAAATCCCTGACTCACGTCCCGGTAAAGCGATAGCCGGGCAGGAAGGAGGCCGGAGCCCAAAATACCCCGTCGCGCCTGACACCAGGAGATTAGCGCCCGGGCCTGGGGCGGCCCGTGCCCCTCGGCACCCGCTCCGGCAACGGCTTCGCCCGCGCCCAGACTTCTACCTTCCTTCCGCAACGGCAAAACAACAACAACAAAAAAACCCCAGCGCCACAACAACAACCCCGGCGAGGAGGCTGCAAAACTTAAATAATAATAATAATAATAATGGGTGACGCACGGCGCAAAATTACCCAGGTAATTGCCGCGGGGCCGGCGATGCGCCCCCGTGATGGGGCGTTCTGGGTACAGTCAGCACGGGGTGACGCCGCACGCGCCGGTGACGTGCGAGGCGCCCGGCTGGCTCCGGCGCCCCGGCCCAACGGCCGTCCACGCGGGGCTGCGGCCGCTGTCGCGCGCCGGCCGGAGCAGCCAAGGCGCCTTTACGTAAGGTGTGGGGACAGGCGCGGGGCGCAGCCACCGCACCAGGCCCCTTTGTCACCCCCGCGGATACACAGCATGTTGGATAGGGATCTATAGGTAGGAATATATACATTGTGATACGTATACAGGCGCTCCGGGAGAAGGCCGCGGCGGCGAGCCCCGGCCGCGGGTTGAACTTGGAAAACTTGGGAGCGGACGAGGAGGAGGAGGAGGCGGAGCGCCCC